AGTGGGGGCGGGGCTTCAAGTTGACACTTTTGAAGCTCAGATGCTTCGAAGAGGGAAAGTCTGGGGAAGTTGACGTTTCTCTAAAGGGCTGGGGCGGGGCACGGGACGTTCTCCGCGCGTCTGTTTGCCCAGTAGCGTTGCCCCGCCTGCCGCGCTTTTGGTGCTGCGGGTTCGAGCGGGTTTGGCGGGCTCGCAGCACCGTGGAAAAGCAAGGCTGTCGACCTGGCATTTTTTTTTTCCGCTTACACGACAGGAAGTGATAAAACGAGCTCCTGGAAAATAAAGGGGACGGCAACTCTACCTCGGAGTTGGGCCCCACTGAGCATTTTATTAGGGACGTGCTGGCGGCCAGAAAGGCTTTTTCTGATCTTTTTGTTATTTGAGCATTAAAAAATAGTCAGCTGAAAGCCATTTCATTAGGTGTGTTGCAATCGTTGCAGGCAAGGGGAACAGAGCATCCGAGGCGTTATCACAAAAGCCGCCGGTGCGGGGAAGCCGGCGGTGGCAGGCGACCATGGCTTATGGCCTGCCCAGGAAGAACACCGTGGAAAGCGTCCTGCGGGGCAGCTACACAGTGTAAGTGTTTTTATCGGGTACGTCGGCTTGCGGTGGGGGCGTCCTGGCTAAAATAAAAAATACGGGACACCCTTATGTTCCCCGGGAGATAGATAACTACCCTGTATGAGGCATTTTCCGGTGTCTGGATACTGTGTCGTTTTTTTTTTAAAGGCAACTGCTTTTACAGGAATTTGTAAATGATCTTACTTGATCTTTACAACAAAAGAACACTTTCAAATGAGAAAACGGGGGTTCGGAAAAATGGTTCCATGAAAGACACAGTCATGCAGTAAAGGAACAGGGTTAGCCCGGCTGCCGGGCGTGGCTCAGCGGCTGAGGATCGACCTGGGATCCAGGAGATCGCAGTTGATTCCCGGTCAGGGCACATTCCCTGGGTTGCGGCCCATCCCCAGTTGGGGGCGTGCAGGAGGCAGCGGATCAATGACTCTCATCACTGATGTCTCTCTCTCCCTCTCCCTTCCTCTCTCCGAAATCAATAAAGATATATTAAAAAAAATATATCTTTCCTTGTTCAAATTCCAGCCCATGACCAACAGCCTTGTGACGTAGGTTGGAAGTCTCCTTACTCTTCTGAAGCAATGTTCTGCTACTATTGCCCACCGCCTTAATACCCCTGTAGGTAGTGCAAACCGATGTAAAAATGCCTCGGTGCCAGGCACATCTTAACAAGAGCACTTGGTTGGCTGGCCAGGTTTTCACCCTGTGTACTTTGGCAGGCAATGTGGAATCCTCTCTGCAAAACAGGTGCCTTCTCTATGATTCTCCCAAGAAAGTATTTTATATCACACTATTTATAAAAGCAGCTAGGTTAAGAGGCACAGATGGTAGAAGCACTCTTTGGAGTTCATTTGCTAAGGCAACTCCTCACTTTGGCCTTTTTCGGCGAAGTATTTTTATAAGATTATTTAAAAAACACTAAAAACATACAGTATAGAAGCATTTGAAAGGAAAATAAACATGCTATTTCTCATATCCCTATTCCCACCCCATACCCCAGTCCCACTCAGGGGTAAAACGGTTTATATTTTTCTAGAATTTGTCTGTTATACAAGATACACACATTTGTACACATGGGATTGTATTGAACTTCTCTCCCTACCCCACTCCACCTTGTAAATCCTAGTGATCAGGAGCACAGATTCTAAAGCCTGGCTTCCCTTGTTCAAATTCCAGCCCGTGACCAACAGTCTTGTGACACTGGGCAAGTCATTCTCTGTACTTGTTTCCTAATCTGTAAAATGAGGAGAGTAACAGTGCCTGCCCATTTCGTGGGGTTACTGTGGTAATTAAATGAGTTCATATGTGTAAAGCGATTTAAGCAAGGCCTTGCACGTAATAAGTGCTAGATACGTATTAGCTGATTTACTGCTCATCTTTCCAAATCAGCATATAAAGATAAACCTTATTCTTTCATTACATGTATGTACCGCATTCCATGTTTGTTAACCAGGCTCTTGGATAGACATTAAAGCTATTTCTGTGGGGTTTTTTGTTTTTTGACAAACAGTGCTTCAGTGAGTATTCTTGTAAGTACCTTAGTGCATGTGTTCAAGTACATCTATAATAATTGTAGAATGCAAGTCACTCCTTAACTTTAGGTGGTAAAGCAGCACGGAAGCTGGAGGTGGAAAACCAAAGGATGGCGTGTGTGTCACACCCTCACTTCCCTCACTCATACCAGAGCAGGTCGCTCCCCTTCCCCATGCACGTGAGCTCACAGTGACTGCAGATGAGAAACATCTCTTGGCCAGTAGCTGCTATTTGACATTTTTTCATTAGGATACAAAAAACAATCCATTTAAAATCCATAGTGATTATTTTAAGTATTGTAGTTTGGGATTTCATCTCCTCCTCCAATTTTCTAAGGATTCTCTTGGTACTAGTGCTTCTAAATGAATATACCTAGGCTGACTACCAGCTCTGATTCTTAATTAACGTGTGAGTCTCAATTTTCTTGTCTGCCTATGTAGTGGCTGCAAGGATAAAATAAGATCACACACTCAAAGTCTCAGTGTCTGTTGAGCACCCTGCTCAGTGCATGACTAGTCCCTTTGTTCCTTCCCTAATATGACCATATTTCTGATCAGCCATGAAACACTACATTATTCTAAAAGACATAAGAAGATTGTATTGACTCCAGAGAGGCTGTATCATGAATAAAAGTTCCTGTCATTGTAGCTTATGGTAATTTTTAAATATATCTTTACATTAGTTAATATAAGGTTCCTTCTCCTGGCTAGATTTACAACTCTGAAAAATCCTGAATCCTCTCCAGTAAACCAAAATGTAGAATGGAGAACAGAACTGATAATTAATTAGATGTCTTCTGTATATTCCATAGTAGATGCTTAGTAAATATCTGTTGAGTGAATTAATGAATTTTTGCTCCAGACAGCAACCTTGGGATCTTGCACTGCTTACAGAGACCTGGTACACAAACATAACCAAAATCAGATTTCCTTTCTTGGAAGAAATTACATTTGGTGGTCCTATATACCTCAAAAAGTATAGAACCAATAAGGATTGTCTGCTCCCTTCTGCAGAAGGTATGTTCAATAAGAACCGCTTTAATAAGTTGCAAATGTTATGTCTTTTGCTTATTATCAGATACATGTTTAAATATATTCATTTGGCCGGGCTGGTGCGGCTCAGTGGTTGAGCACTGACTCATGCACCACGAGGTCGCTGGTTTGATTCCCAGTCTGAGCACATGCCTGGGTTGCAGGCTCAGTCCCCAGTAGGGGGCATGCAGGAGGCAGCCGATCACTGATTCTCCCTCACTGATGTTTCTATTTCTCCCTCTCCCTTCCTCTCTCTCTTAAAAAAATCAATAAAAACACATTTAAAAAGTCTTCCTTACCCCCTATATATGTAGCCCTCTCTCCTTGTTTAGTATTCAAGAGTGTGAATTGTGCTGTGTGATAAATATTCAGTTTTGACTAAATTATACCTGGTGAAAAATGTCAGTTGGATTGCTTCATGTATTTTATTTTTTAGAAGTCAAACTTGAAAGGGAATATGAAATAAAGCGCCTGAACAACCTGAAATGTCAGGAAAAAGTAGCCGAGGAAATTCAGCTTGCCCTAAGGGGAAAGCCAGTTGGTTTGAGAAGACCGCTTCCTCCTAAGTGACAATCGCTTCATAATCAAACCTGTATTCTGCGCTTTCTGCGTCTGAAGGGGATGAAGGGCTGCCACCTTCCTCTGTGTGAAGTTCTGTGCAGGCATCCGAATGCCACTGTGGACGAGGCAGCTGGGGTGGGTTAGAGGACAGCTCCGACAGATCTTCTACGTCCCCACCACCCTCTTGTTCCATTGCATCACAAGCAAAACCACGGTAAGTAGATGAAAAATGCATCTGGAATGGAGTCATTTGTGCTATGCATTTTGATTCTTGTAAGTTTGCACTAAGGGAAGAGGAAACTCCTAGTCAGAGACATTATTTTGAAGAACATTTAAAATTTGCATCTATGAGATCCTAAGGAGTCACCAAAAAAGGGGAGAAATTATTTAAAAAATATATTTTTATTGATTTTTAGAGAGAGAGAAAGGGAGAGGGGGGAGAGAGAAACATTGATGTGAGAGCGGAACATTGATTGGCTGCCTCCTGCACAGCCCCTTCTGGGATTGAGCCCAAAACCCAGGCTTGTGCTCTGATTGGGAATCAAACTGGCAACCTTATGGTGCATGGATGCCCAATCAGCTGAGCCACACTGGCCAAGGTGAGTAATTCTTTTAAAAATAATAAACTGAAAACTTTTGTTTGGGTAAGAAAAATTGTAGATTTCTTGTTAGCAGTTCCCCAGTTCCCAATTTTCAGTAAAATCTCATTTATTATTCTCATGTAGAGCTTTGAAGCAGCACGTAGAACTTGTTTAGGTTTTGTTCTCCTAAAAAAATTGTCTTTCTCCTTCTGCCTGATTTCATATTGTGTGTGTGGGATGCCTTGGAGCATGTGGAACACACATGTGTGAAAGTGACATGAAAATACAAAGGCCTTATTATGAGGAAAACTCTTATTTGTACAGAGTAGCTAGAGAATGAGGAATGATTTACTGGAAAGTACTGAATTGGCATGAACCAATTTTCCTAGAATTTGAATTCAATGAAGTATACTTGGATGTGAAAGTTATATTTAAGCACAATGTAGTGTTTGCGTGTGTTAGATGAATCAGTAGGCATTTTAGGTGCTTCTGGTATCTTAACCTCACCATGAAAGGCATTGTTGCAGAGTGTTTAAGATACATACTTTAGACCTGGCTGGCTGGTTTCTTATGTTAGCACTTCAGGCCTACCCTAATGCCTAAATCATGTAGGCACTCAATATGCATTTATTAATTGTTGATTGAAAATTTCCATATGGTCAAAAGTTCACATTAGAAAGTACACATGGAAATGGTATGCATGTGTGCTGACAATGGAGGAAAGAACAGAAACAAAATGCTATCTTCTCTACGGGGAGGTCAATAGATTATGCCTAAAAAGGAAAAGCCAAGAAGTAGCAATACCAAAGTGTTACTTAGAGACATGGAGGCAAATAACAAAATAGGTGAAAAAGGTGAAATTAGTTGCCTCTGTAGAGGTGAAAATGAGTGGCAGGGATACATAGAACTACTGTTTTTAAAATAAAACTTTATTCTACCCTTTAATATACATTTACAACTGGTAATTTTTAAAAAGAGAAACAAAGTGAGTTTATTTTATTAAGAAAATTAAGAAAATTTCTCAAGGGTACACACCCAGTCAGGGAAAGAGGGGGAGAGGACTGGAACCCAGACTTATTAACTAAAACCTAGAATTTTCTTTCTACTACTGTCTTATGTAAATGCAATTTTTAAGAAATCAAGACACTACCAACAATGTTGATCTGTGTGAACTCAAGGTCTGGCCTTTTCCCAAAACCCATGTTGTTTAGCCACCTGCTTGGCCCGCCTTCAGCCTGGCTGCCTGTGCGTATGGCCTATTGAGGAAGCTGGAGTTGTGGCTGTTACGGGGCAGGGAGGGACTATTCTAAAATTTGGAATGTGATGGATTTTCCCCTCTAATAACCAGCAGCCCTGGGCCACAGCAGGCCTTCTGCGCAGCAGGGTAATTTCCAGTAAGTGTTCTGTTTGTTGAGTTAAGAACACCTGGTTTCTGTAGGATGTCAGCTCCCACGAGGAAGAAAGAGGAAGGAATCGAGCCACGTGTGCTCACTTTCTCCTTCCAGACTTATTGATCAGCTCGCTCCCCTTGGCGTGGAGTGAACCAGGGGCCCGAAGAGGCCGGGGATGTGACACTGTTAGCACACACTTCACAAGAAAGGAAACACCACCCTAGAGAAGGGTTCCTTCTCAACACCTTTACGTGTGATGACATACAAGACGTAAAGATCCTCCAGACAGACTAGGAAAATAGATGGCCTGAGTTAAGGAAGTTCAGGAGGTAAGATTGAAGGACCTTTCTTTTCATTCCCTCACCTGACTCACTTGAGACCCCTGGACTTTCAGCTGTATGTGTGGGCATTTCCTACTCTGGGTGGTTTTCTGTGAAGACATGTAGAGGGCATTGTTAAACCCTTTGTGATTTTTAGGAGAGTGGCTCCCAGGAGATCTGGCAGGGCCCATATATTTTAGGTCCCCTGCAATTCTGGTGTAAGAAATCCTGAGAGCCCCACATTCCATCCGTAAGTAGAGGGAACTGGCAAGGACGAGAGCATTCTGTGGGCCGGGGACTGCACTGTGCGAGTGCTTCCCAGTGTTTGTCACATCATGGCACACGTGGAAAAGTATAATATTCATATGGCTTACTGGAGTAAAAGAGAAACAAGGATGCTGAAGGCCAGAGGTGACTGGCCCGGGGCTCTGACCCACCCAAAGGCGGAGGGCTCACCTCCACGGCACAGCCATCACTCATGCACAGCACAGCACTGAGCCACCATGGTTGGGGAGCCCTTATCCCATTCATCCCCTCACTTATAGACAAGGGAATTGAGGCTCATAGGTTAAGAAACTTGCTTTAGGTTGCACAAGCAGAACCTAGTGTCAAACTGAGCTTTTTCTTAATCTAAAGCCCACAGTCTTTGCACTACATGATCCTTGCTGCTATCAGTCCTCTGAACATTTTGTTTTGGCCCCGCATATCACTCACCGGATAATTGCTGATGGAGAGTTCATTTAATTACAATTCATTTCAACAAGAATTTATTTGGTTCTGATGATCTGCCAGCAGTGCCTGGTGCTGGGATCTAAAGATCAACAATGGACCCCATCCTATTCATTTTTTAATGATAAACCTTTATGTTGTTTCCAGTTTTCATTATTACAATGCTTCTGTGAACAGGCTTAAACAAGTCTCTTTAAGCACACTGTGTGGGAACTTCAACTCAGACTCTAGGCCTAGAAAAGAAATTTCTGTGTCATAGGATACGTATTTTATTTCTACAGAATGCTGCCAAATTGCTCTCCAAAGTGGCTGTACCAAGGTATGCTTCTTCCAGTGGTTTATGAGTATAGTAGACATTTGTCTTTTTGTTTGTTCATTTTTGGGCTTCTCAGAGTTTAATCTCATTTCTGTGGTTTTGTGAGTCAAAAAGCCATGTTTTTGCTCTGCCTGATCCTCAAAACCTGGGCACAAGTACGTGGTCAAGGCAAGCCGACTGGCCGCTTCCTCCTGGGACTCTGACTCTGGAGGGAGAGAGACGCAGACCCCAAGCTGGTTGGAACTCATTTCAGTCATAATGGTCATGGCACCCGGCTCCCAGCGGCAGGGGTGGGAGCAGCATCGCGGTGGTGGCGGGTGCGTCTCAATAGACCCTTCCCACGACAGGATTTTAGCTGCGATTCTGGGTGCCCTGCAGTCTCCAGGCCCACCTGCTTGCTGAACCTCACTCTCTAGCCTCTTCATTCGCACAGTTTATACTGAGAGCTCCCCGAGAGCCGCCCAGTGACTTCTGATTCTCCTCCTGGAACTAAGCCCAGTCCATTCCTTTCATTCTGTCAATCACAGCACATTGGAGGGCTATGAAATCAGTCTTGTAGATCTACATTAAAAAAATGAAATAGAATAGAAGTATCAGAGTTCATTGACTGTATTCAGTGTAAGGATTATTTCGTGGAACATACGCACATACGAACATACATAGAGACAAGCATATGTGTACCAGATTGCGAGGTAAAATGCTTTTCTTATATTAGGTTATGGTTCATACATTTGAAAAGTGTTGATACAGTGTTTAAGAGCATGGGCTCTGCAATTAGACTGCTCGCATTCCAGTCCCACTTGCCAGCCATATAACCCTGGGCAAGCTACTTGAGCTCTGTACCTTGCCTTCTTCATTTGTAACATGATAATATGTGGGGACTGCTAGTTTTCTTCCAAAATTATTTCCCCTTTTATAACTACAGTGTTAGTCTTAGTTCATGCTGCTATAGAAGAACACCAAAGATTGGGTGGCTTAAACAAACATTTATTTCTCACATTTCTGGGGGCTGGAAGTCCAAGATCAGGGTCAGGTTCTTAGTGAGGGCCCTGTTCCTGGTTTAAAGACCACAGCCTTCTTGCTGTGCTCTCACATGGCAGAGAGAGAGATCATCTCTCCTGCGTGTGTCTCCTTTTTTAATCTTCACCCAAGGATAACTTTTTTATTTATTTTAGAGAGCGAGGAAGGCAAAGAGAGAGAACGAGAGAAACATTGATTGGTTGCCTCCCATATGCGCCCCGACCTGAATTTGAACCTGCAACCTAGGTATGTGTCCTGACCAGGAATCAAACCCACAACCTTTTGGTGTATGGGACAACACCCAGCCAACTGAGCCATCCAAACAGGGCTCCCGTGTCTCTTCTTATAAGAGCACTAATTCCATTCATAGGGGCTCCACCCTCATGACCTAAATGCCTTTCAAAGGCCCTGCCTCCAGATACCATCACATTGGGGATTAGGACTTCAACATGAATTTTGGGGACACAAATATCCAGTCCATAGTAGTGTTGTAGCTGAGCATATGCCTGTGCAGGACACGTTTATTACTTATAATTATGTGGCTAAGTTCTTGCTAATGGAACGTGTAGTAGTGATGTGCATTGCTTTCAAATCTGAACCTGAAAAGGCATTGTGTCTGCCTCCTCCATTACCTTTTACTGGTGGGTGGAACCCTGATGGGGTGGTCCTTCAGCCTGACCACATAAACAGTGATGATGTAAACCTTGTAGACAGTGATGGTGGAGCAAGACAGAAGGGGCCTGGATCCTTGAATGACTATGTGGAGTCCCCCCAACCTGAACTATTCACATCAAGACTGTTGAATATGAGAAAAATGTCTTTGCTTTCTAAGCCATTGCATTTTGGGATCTCTTTATTACATTAATTTCATCTTTACACTAACTAATATACTGCCTCAGAGAGCTGTTGAGGTTTATCACAGCAATTCGTGGTGAATAATAAGCACTAATAAAATATACCTCATAAGAGTGTTTTTGAAATCAAGAACCTTAGTTGGAGGAAGGTGGTCTAAAGGTACAAACTTCCAGTTATAGGGTAGTAAGTACTAGGGATGTGAGGTACAACATGATGGCTATCCCTAATCCTGCTGTATGATATGTAGGAAAGCTGGGAGTAAATCCTAAGAGTTCTCATCACAAGGAGAACATTTTTGTCCCTCTTATCTTTTCTTTTCCTATTATTGTATCTCTATGAGAAGATGGATGTTAGCTGAACCTATTGTAATCATTGCACAATATATGCACATCGAATCATGCTGTACACCTTCAACGTGTACAGTAATATACATCAATTATTTTCAATAAAAATGGGAAAATAAAGAATATTAAAAAAACACCTTGACCAGTAAAATGAGGGCTGAGTTTAGCTCAGTGGTTCTCCATGAGGAATGACTTTGCCTCCCCCTGCCCTTCGGGGGATACTTGGCCATGCCTGGAAATGTTTTTGGTTACCTTAACTGTGGGGTATCATAAAGGCATCTAGTGGGTAGAATCCATGGATGTTGCTAAATAGACAATACACAGGACAGCTCTGCACGAACAAGTTTTCCAGCTCCTAATATCAATAGTGCCAAGGCTGAGAAACCCTGATTTAACATTGGTTTAAGCTACTCAGGACACATTGCTAAAACAGAAGGTTGGGTCAAATTGCACGGCTGGGAATCAAGAAGTGCAGACTGTTTCTAGCATGACAGGAGGAGAATGAATGCTGGGTAGCAACGAACAGATTTCTCCAGTACCTTTTGGCTACTCACATTCACTCACACCCATTTTTCCATATCTACAAACCCACTCAGTGATTTCTCAAAATTGTATCTAGTTTCTACATCAGGTCAAGTCCAGGATGTCAGGGTGATACACAGTCCTTGTCTTTAGTCTGGATCTTGCAACCAATGATTAAATAATATGCCATTAACCCTAACATGATTGATATACATGATGGAGATAGAACAGGCTAGATATATACAATGAAAAGGTTGGGCTCTCTAGTCCTGCAGATGGTCTTTGGCCACAGAGCTGGCAATTTCTTCCTTGATTTTTAGGGGTGGAGAGGGGTTGCTGAATCTACTCAGACTTCACTTAGCCACCAATCCACCATGATGGAGCCCAGTGAAATCCAATTATAATTTTCTTTTGCTTCCTTTGGGAGACAAAGGGATAGGAACAAGACAACAGGGACATTGACAGGAAGGTTTAGAGATGTTTTCATGGTCCCTCAGCATAGACATAATCTATGAAAAAAACCTAGTGACCTTGGCTTACTTTATTTGTAATTATGGGCATAATCTATTATTCTTAATTGATCCCTAAAGAAGGAAAATGTTGCCAGTGTACCAGGAGTCTCAGACTTTCTTTTGGAATTTTCTACTAATAGGTTCTTACCGTCCATTCACGTGCTTCTTTCAGTGTCCATCTCTCTCATCTTCACATCATCTGCCTCCACCCTAAGGACTTGCTTTTCACTTTGCAGCTTTCACAGCATTGGAATGTAGGTATGATCTCCTTCATGGATGTCAGGGGCAGGTGCCATTTCTTTTCTATGTCAGATCAACTTTCTGTCAAAGCAACTTTTTCCAATTGCCAGAAGCAGACTCCCTCGCTCATTCTTTTAGAGATAGCTCACCATATGGGTGTGTCCTGTTGGAATTTAGTCTCGTGCTCTCTTCAAGTATGTAGAGCAAGTAAGATAAAGCATAACCTGAATCCAACAAATGACCCAACATTTCCTGGGTGGTATTACCCGCACCATCTCTTTTCCCAGATCTGTTGCACCAAGGCTCCCAGGAAAGTGACTGGCAGAAACTCTAGCACTGTAGTTAAACAACACTGAAATTACAGAAGTAGTGGAAATAGTTGACATAATTTTCTTCAAGAGGAGGGTTATTTCCTAATGTGGTCTCCTTTGATTGTGGAATCATATGACAAGTATATATACATATTTTTTTTCCTCATAACTTTCAGTATTTGGAAGACATTTCTAAGTTTTATTAACAAAAAGCTCGGAGAAAAATTCAAAAATTGGCAGCAGGAGCAAAGGAAAATTTATTTATTTATTTTTGATAATGACATTGTTAATTTTTGGGGTTAGATGCAAATGTTATTAATAATAATAATAACAAAAATAACAACAAAATAGATGATATTTATTGAGCACTTCCAATGTCTCAGGCAGGGTAGCTAGAAAAGCTCAGATGAAAAAGCTGTAAGTTTGTACTAGGTGCTTGAGCTCAGTAGCCCCCTTTACTTTAATGAGTTTTGGCTAGTGTACTAGGTGCATGTCCTCCTGGCCTAGCAGTTGAGGGCGGAGAAAAAACCACTTCTGACCCTTTCTGGCCATGGCTTTGGGGTTTAAGCTCTGTCAAAAGTATATAAGGACGGGAAGAATGGCCACTATATTGAATGGCACCTATATTTCAGCATCTGGTAAGGCAGGTGATTTAGAGGCTTAAGTAGGTGAACAGTAGCGACCAGGATGTGATATTTGGTTTGAGTAGCAAGAATAATGTGTTATTAGTATTCTTTGTTATTATTCATGAATGAAACTCATGAACTTTTATTATTTTATTTATTGTTCATAGGTAGAACAGACTCTGGAGTTGACTTCCAGCCATGTTGCCTTGTCATTTACTAGCTTAGACCCTGGTAAGTTATTTAACCTTTATAAGCCTCTCCACTCCTGGGTAAATGAGGGTAATAATGGTACCTGCAGAATAGGGTTGTTGAGAGGATTAAATGAGATACAAGTAGGGGAGGAAAAGAAATCTTTTTCCTCCTCCCCCTGGGGCCCTGTAAATTAGACTAAAAGACAGATTGATAGGAGAAAAACAAGCAGGAGTTTATTACCATGTGCATCGCATATACACATGGGAGCACTCAGAGATGAGTAACGCCCGAGGCCGTTACAACCTGGGTTTACATAGCACCTTTTTATTTATTTAATTTAATTTATTTTATTTTTTATTTTTGTTCAAAATATTACAGATGTCTCTTTTTCTCCCACTGACCCATTCCACCCCATCCCAGCCCCCTCCCCAGTCCCTCTCCACCCATTGTCCTGTCCTTGGGATATGCATATAAGTTCTTTGGTTAACAAAAGAACAATACATTTTTAGAGAAGTGACAAGACAAAGGAAAAGGTGTTTGAGCTTCTGCGGGGGGCAGATGGTGGGAAGACAAATCTATGGGAAGACAAATCTAGTGGTAGATAAGGGCTAGCTTTAGCCAGGTTCGGTATGTAGATTCCTTCGGTCTGATAAGGGTGTAGACGCGTGCTCCGTGATTAACTTCTGTCCTACCTGGCGGAGAGCAGTGGGGAGACAGCTTTACAAATTTGCATCCTGCTTTTACACAGATAGGAGGCTTATGGCTTCTCAGTGGCCTTCCGCTTGAAGTAATCCATAAACCAAGTGGCAAGGGGCCTATCCCGGGACCTGGTACAGAGGAAATCTCAATAAATGATAGTTGCTGTTACTGTTATCATCATAGAAAAATCAGTGTCAGTAATTTGCTGTCATGGCTGACAAACCCTCATTTATCATAACTTGTAGATTTTCTTCTCGGAATTCTGGGATTTAAAAGGCTATGAGAATTTATGGTTATAATCTTAATAACATTTGATCTGCTGAGCTGAGGCCAAAAAGAGATTGTTGGGAAAAGGACCACGAATACTGATATAAATAGCACGCCACCTGAGAAGGGTAAACAGGCTTTTCCAGTTGGTTTTGTTGACATGGCACTTGGTTTTCCTTTCCATTTATTTTATCCTGAAGGTGGAGCAGGTGCCGTGTCAGGCTAAACACTGTGTGAGCCCATTTCCCACCATCCAGTGAGAAGGCCCTGACTAGGCCGGTCAGCCCTTCTCACGCCCCTGCATTCCATCTTCTGCAGGTGCCTCTTACCTGGAAGCTTAGGAATTTATTAGGCTACCTTATGAAAGCAGAGGAACAGAGACAATGGTTGAGCCATCTCAATAGTCTAGCTCCCCATGGAGTCATCGGGTTGTTATCAACATTTAGGGAGCTGCTTGAAATAACCACAACTTCCTCTCTCTTTACCCCTTTTCTTTATAAAAATAGTATAAATTATTATATGATTACATAATTATAATAAAAATAGTTGAGTAATACACAACCATTTCAAAGATACTAGATTGTACAAAAAATATAAAAAAGAAAAAATCATTCATAGTCCTATCTACAGAAGCAATCACTATGAAAATTTTGTAGTCTTTCCATTTAGTCTCTTTCTGTGCTGATTATTTTAACATGGCTAGGAGAATGCAATTTATTAATTTTTAACCCTCACCTGAGGATATGTTTTTAGAGAGGAAGGAAGAGGGGAAGAGAGAGAGAGAGAGAAATATTGATGTGAGAGAGAAACATCGATCGGTTGCCTCCTGTATGTGCTCCGACGGGGGATCGAACCTGCAACCTGGTTTTGTGCCCTGACTGGGAATCAAACTCGCAGCCTTTTGTTGTGCAGGATGGCACTCCAACCAACTGAGCCACACCGGCCAGGGTGAGAATTCCATCTATACCATTTGATCTTGACTTTCTTTTTGCTTAACCTTCTAACATGAACATTTCTCTTTGTTAAAATGTTTACATTTTAAATAACTCCATAATATTTCATTGTATGGTTTTACCATACTTTATTTAAATCAGTCTCACTTTGGACATTTAAGTTGTTCCCAGTTTTCTGCTTTTATAAATAATACTGCTATTATAAATAACAATATATTTATAAATAACAATGCCTTTATGTATAGGGACATCTGCCCCAAATAAATAATACATCTTTGCCAGTATTGCAGCTTATTTTTTAAGAGAGCTTCTTGGACTTATCGTGACAGGGTTATTAGTACAGATTGCCAGATTTTTCCAGAAAGGTTGTGGGAATTTTCATTCTTACCTGCAGTATATGAGAATGTGTCTCTCACTCAACACTTATCAACAAGGGGTATTCACCTTAAAATTTTTTTCTTCCTGATAGGCAACACATATTTTTAATGTACTTTAAAAAAATCATTAGTGACATTGAGTTCTATGCCTATTAATGACTTAGTAAATTTTCTTTTCAATGATTGCCCTCTTTCTTTTTCTTTTTTCCTGTGAGGTAATAGTGTTTTTATTTTTGAAGCTTGATTTTTAAAAATATAGAATTAGGCTTTTTACCTTTTGTTATGAATAAACAGTCTGCTTCCTTACCACCAATTTCTTTAAGCTTGTTTTGGATCCATTTCTTATGAATTTGCCTAAACTCTTTGGGACCCTATAGGATTTTTTATGCCCTACAAGCTTTTAGAAGTTTCCCCTTGTGGTGATTTTCAGTTTGGAGAACATTTCCGCAGCCACGTTTCATTACCTTTCCTTTCAGTGCTTTCCCTTCAGCATTTACATTCCCAGACTGAGGAGCATAGGCCTTTCCGCTGGTTTTGCTGAAAACTACCTTCCACCCCTGGTTTTATTTGCAGAGAACAGAAATACATGAAATACTTCCTGTGATTTATAGAACTGGATCTCAAAATTAAGGTGCATATATGTTGAACATGTTCAGGTGCCTTATACATCTATGAGCATATGAGATAAAATGAAAGGTTAGGGATTAGCTGGTTTTTGTCTTCATCTTTATGGGGAATAGTGTTTTATCCCTGAGCTACGCCTGTGTGGTTTAGTCGTTGGCATGATCATGTTAGACTGTTTTCCATTGCTCCCACTTCATGTGCTCCAGAGAAGTGAAAACAGGCTGAGAATTAGTCTGGATTTCAATCCTGGCATTACATTTACTTGTTAGTAACCTTGGACAAACTACACAGCCCCACTAGGCCTTTGTTTCCTTACCTGCGGAGTGGGGACTGATAGCATTCACCTCGCAGAATGGATGAGAAGATGAAACGGGACCCCGGGACCCGCCTCCCTACCTTGGTGTATAGGTTTGGTCATACCTTTTAAAATTTTCTAATTAATTGTTGAATTCCTACGTGCCACTAAGTTTAGAATCACCTGTGGAAAGTGTCCTTTACAAATGAAGCAAGAACCCCAGGGGCTTACTCTTCCAAAGGAGTCTCCTTCCCAACCCCAGATGGAGAGAAACTTGGAAAAGTCTGACCAGTCACCAGGAGGCCCTGGTTTCAGCTGCTATTGTTTTTGTTGGGACCTTTTGCCCCCACCCAGTCCAACAGGCCCTTACCCACTGTGCCTTCTCGTTCTGATCCTAGCACACACGACTGTTTGCTAGGATCTGGCCTCTCAAGGTTACTTCTCTTCAGGTCACAACCACAAACTCGGTCATCGTGTGACACCTGTGCCAGGGTGACTGGATCCAGAGCAACTTGTTGTCCAGACATCCCTTTCAGGGTGGGTTATTGGACCTTGGTATTCTTTCCTGCCAGTGGATATCAGTTGGAATCATCCTAATTCAGTTGAGAAATTCTGATTACAATAAATTTCAAAAAGGTAGTGGCCAAGGTCACATTTCCTTGTAGGAGGCTCTTCCACTGCTGTGTGCAAATTTAGGTCCCTCCTCCAGCATCGGCGCTGAGCATCTGCTATTACATCTCCTTAATCAGGAATGGAGGTTACTTACTAAGCTAATAAATTTAAGTGACTCTTCCAGGAACAAAGAAGGTCTGCCAAGGAACTTTTTGATTTTATCCAGAAAGAAATGTCTGATACCTTCTCTTACTAAATAACTTTACTAATAACTTTATTTAAAAAGTTCTGCTTCATCAGACATAGCCACATATGCATAAAGCACCTAGCATACCCTTGTCACCCAGTAGGTACCCAGAAAATCAGTTCTCTCCCTCGTGCATTCCCCCTTCACTCCACCACACCTCTGCACTATTCAAGCTGGGCACACGTAGCTTTCCAGAGACACAGCCGGCTTCTGAGTGTCCGTTCTCCAGCTGGCTCTGCGTAAACATACTACAGGCGGTGCTGGGTTGCTTCTGACGGCCCCTGCAAGCTTGTGGTAAACCCTGGCTTGTTCTCAGGCACAAAACAGGTTGGTGGCCGCAGGTTGTCACGCTGACCTCTGGTGGCCTCCAGCAGGGTTCTGCCTTCAGAGCTGCTTTGGGATGTGTTGGCCTAAGGCAGTTTATACTTTCTTCAAATAGTTAGATGCTATTTTACATTTGTATTCAACTTGTATTTTTACACAGTAAACATGGCCATCTTGTCCTGAAGAATAATTTGCTAATCAAACCATGAACAATGCATGCTAGTCTTCCCTTTATAAGGCCGAGGCACTTATAAAAGTGTACCTTGTCCCCAACCTTTGTCCCACAAATAACCTTCCTGCTGTCTGTGGGAAAGGGTGGGGCCTCTGCGTTTTTGGAGGTTTCGTTTCACAGACCCGCGCGTTCCTCGTCTGGTTTCGCCAGCGGTGCCTGGTTAGAGCACAGAGGGGCCCCGGGCCACTGCGGTCAGGGGCTGACCTCAGCCCGTTCCCAGGCTTCAGACAAGCTCTTTGCTACGTTCCCTGCGGAATCCCAGGCCGCCCCAGGGTGTGGCCTCACAAAGCCAACACTATCTTCCAAAGGAAAGTGACAGCTCCCTTGAATTATTTGGGCACAGAAATGAGTTTCCACATGTTTCATGAGGCGTAACCAGGTGCTTTCTATCACATTCTTACAGGTGTTTCATTACCGACTTCAGACACAGACTCTAAGGGAAGTGGGAAGAGGGAAAATGGAGACTCATTCTGAAGCTCTCTTGAAATTATCCTTAGTTCCCCCTGCCATTGCCTTAATTGGCAGCCTTTCACGTTAATATTTCCAACAGAAATTCTTTGCTAATGCTTTGACACAGGGCTTTGGCTTAATTGCTTCCCCCCCACCCCCTTTCCCCCCAGAATTAGCCTCTCTTTCTCTGAAACGTTGCATCCTGGCTCGTTGAAATCCCTGCTGAATTTGAGGAAATTGTCTTGGCATCCACCCTACTTTCCTGGAACACAATGTGATGCTGACGACACAGCCCGATCGCTCACTTGACAATGAGCCTGTTTGTCTCATTCCTCTTTAAGATTCAGTGGCGAGGAGAAGAGGAGGGGAGCCTTGCTTCCCGCAGTTTATTATACGTTCCGGGGCCAAGCTAATTGCTTGTATGGTGTCGTCAGGAAATTGATCAGATCAGGGTGAGTCACCTGGCTGGCCAGTGGCTCTCGGAAGGATTCTGCACGCGTGACTTCGTTACATTATTGCAAACCGTGGCAGGACCGACCTGCGAGCCACCTCGGCAGATGTTCACTCGTGATGCTGCCTTAAGGAGATGAGATGAGAGCGAACTGCTCCAACGGCTCCGCCTGCCCTGCGAACGGTTCACAGGAGCTGCCGGTGGCGCTGCTGCCGCCGGGGAACCTGAGGCTGGTCTTCACCGTGGTGTCCGCCGTGATGATGGGCCTGATCATGTTCTCGCTGGGGTGCTCCGTGGAGGTCCGGAAGCTGTGGTCGCACATCAGGAGGCCCTGGGGCATTGCTGTGGGGCTGCTCTGCCAGTTCGGGCTCATGCCTCTTATAGCCTATCTCCTGGCCATCAGCTTTTCTCTGAAGACAGCCCAAGCTATTGCTGTTCTTATCATGGGCTGCTGCCCGGGGGGAGCCAGCTCCAACATCCTTACCTTCTGGGTTGATGGAGATATGGATCTCAGGTAAGTTACCCCCCTCCTCTCCCCCCCAGCTCAGTCTTCCCCTGATAGCACTTTGCCTGGGGGTGGGAGCTGACTGACATTTTTTCATGTTGAAAATTCTGCCAATTTTCAGGTGGAGATCCAAGCGGGAAACATTTTGCAGAGACTTGTTCAGTCCTGGGAAGGCTTTCCTTTCTGAGCTCAAAATTGCCTTTGCTGGGATTGCACCTCTGTTTGACTGGCAACTGCCTTTCCGAGTGGTGGGGTTTGGTTTATATCTCCCAGGACGTAGGCTGGGGATCCCAGGAAGCCAGTGACAGAGGCCTTGTAGTTCCGCAGCAAGTGTCACCTGTGCACCTACTATGTGAAGTCAGTGCTTTGGTGACTGAATGAAGGAGTTTAGGGCTATGTGATTTAGGAATCCTGTTTTAAGCACCAGGGGTGGCCTACCGAGGTGACTTGGAGAGCCACATAAAGACATGACTAAAAACGTTCTTTCTCGTTGCTTTTCACATGCTTAACATTCATCAGGAGAATCCCATTTCTTTCACTTAAGCCAGTGAGCTTATTCCCAATTATGGTGTAAACAAATACCCCTCGGAGACGTTAGGCTCTGTCACTCATTTATGCTTTAATGAGGGTGAATTAATCACATACATGTGAGGGGGAGAAAAGAGAGCATTTGGGGAAAGAATAGAGGAGTCACAATGGGAAAAATGAAAGGAATAAAAACAGTGGTCTTTCTAGATCCTTTGCTTACTGGTGAACAAACTGTTTTATGTTCTGCCCAGGGAAAGAACTACTTACGCATTTAAATCTTGGTTTGATGTGCATGTCGTATAGTTGAGATTTATTATTCGATGAATGAATGAATCAGGTGCTGACTGTGCTGGGAGTTGACTTTGGTGAGTCAGCTGCACGGATGAGTTTCCGGTTTCCTGCATGTGCTGAATGTGCAACATGTGGTACATATTTCACCTATAAATTTTAATGAGTGCAGACCAATAATTAATTTTGATATGGCAATGTTTTAGTGACCCATTTATCAGAGATTTGAAAAGAATCACTCAATGCATTGCTAACTCAAATTCAATTAAGATGGTCATTAACGTAAGCATTGGGAAATGATAAATATTCTTTATACAAAGTCTGTATGTCAGCCATAAATTTTGGGATCTGAAAGTTTTTGGAAAGAAAAAGGAAACATATTTATTGAGTCCCCTGATTAGGCATGAGGTAGACGCTTTCACATATTCTCTCCTTGTGTGTGTGTGTGTGTGTGTGTGTGTGTGTGTGTATGTTTTCAAGTCACCATCTCTCTTCAATACAATATGAATTCTCATCATTGACCCCTTTTTCTTTTTTCTGGGCTCTCATAATAACCTTATACATGACCTTTTATTATTCTGAGCTTTACAGCTGAGAAAATTGTGATTCAGGTGGGTTAAGAGGTTGCCAAGTGCTGCAAATGAGTAAGGCAGAGCTCGGATTTGGATTCACGTCTGTTTCTCACCAGGCTGTAGTTGAGGCACTTTCTTCCGTGCCATTTACTAATACACCAGGTCTTCTGTTCTGAATAGGAGCATAAAGCTTTAAACAGTGTTCTCAACCACTTCTGTCCTGTGAAAGAATATTTATTACCGCCATCTCTTATTAGCGGACATTGTGATAAAAACGCCAATGAGTAGGAAGTCTATAAAAGATAAAGCTCATTTTACTTCCCTTAATTAGCTTTAACTGTAATCAAATTATTTAACCTATAAGCCTCATCTCCTCATCTCTAAAATGGGGTTAAAATTTATTCTTCACAAGACTATATTTTAAAGAGGAAATATACATGTAGAATGCCAGACACAATAAATATTATGCAATAAATATAAGCTGCTTTACCCTTTTTCTTTTAAAATTTTGATTTTGGGTCTCAAACAATACAAAACAAAAAAACAAGCAAAAAATATTCTGTAAGAAATGACATTTAAAAATGGGGACTACATATTACATTTTCAAAAGCTTACAGATACAAGAGTAATAAAATCTTAAATCTCAGTAAAAATGGCAAAAAGGAGAAAATTCAGTATTATTGCGTGAAATAACATCCAAATTCATTACGTTTCTTCCACCAACAAAAATGACTTTTCAGCAAAACTCAATAGATTTTCATAGATAGGAATTCTGTTTTTCATGCTGGATAGAATTCAGCATTTAGAACCACAACGTCATTTTACAAATGAGGACATTGAGACTTAGCTCTCTGCAGAGGACCCCAAACATGTTTCTCATGCCCTAACTCTGCTCCCAGTCTACTTGCAGTTCTCCATGTGTTCACCCCAGGCAGGGCCTTTCAGAATCAACGTGTCTGAACCACTTTCTGCATCCTGAGTGTCATGATCCACTCATTTTCCCAGTTGCCCGGGCTGCTCATCATCTGAGCATTCCTCTGTGACACCCCCTGGGACCACCTTGTTCACTTGATCTTCTGTCAGCCCTGTAGTGCATCCCCTCGAATGCCACCCATAGCTATTGTTTCCCATCCCTTCTCACTGCCATTGCCTGAGGTCAGGGCCTCTCAATTTCTTTATTGGCCAGTTGCAGTATCTTTACAATGTTCTCTCCACCTTTGGTCTCTCCATCATGGTTTTGTAGAAAGTTAGTAAGACAGGCTCTGGGCTCAGATGGCCTATATTGAAATCCTGACTTGGGACCTCTTTTCTGTAACTGGAAGTCATAGTACTTTCTTTATGGCGTAAGGAGAAAATGAACATGTGATACATATAAAGGCTTCTCAAAATCTACTAAGTTAGGTAGAAACTAAGCCAGGTCTAACCTACTTCAGGTTTATTCACCATTCTCCAGGTTTATTTCTCATTAACCTCTTAAACATAATTTATCTGTAGTTTAATGGGCTACTCACTGTTCTCTAAACACACCCCACACTTTTCCATCTTTCTTTTGCCTATGTTGTTCCCACAGCCTGGAAGGCCAACTGACCTGATTCTATCTCAAGTCAAATGTTTCCTTCATTATAACTGTTCTGGAAAGCAACTGGCCCATATGTATGGAGAACCTAAGAAATTATTCTCCCGCTGGACTGAGCTCAGCTGATCTTGCTGGGCTCTCTTACATGCTTGGCCACTGGCTAAATGTTGACTGGTCTTAGATGGCCTCAGTTGGGCAACAGGGCTCTCCTCCATGTGTTCTCTCATCCTCTGGCAGGCTGGCCTAGACCTAATCACAAGACTGTGGCAGGGGTCTGAAAAAGAGGAAGCATACAAGACCTCTTGAGGCCTTGGCTTGGAACCATTTATCATTACTTTTGTTGCATTCCATTGGCCAATGCAAATTTCAAGGCCAGACCAGAATGAAGAAGTTGATTCTGCCTCTTGATGAGGTAAGCTGCAAAGTCACACTGCAGAGGGCATGGAAGAGAGAGGAATGAACATTTGGGGCCATTTTTGCAGTCTGTTGTACTAAGGATGGACAGAATTCTTGCCTTTGAGGGTAGAACATGAAAACTAAAATCTGGCAGTGCGCTGTAGTAGTTACGAGTAGCACTCAGGAACCAGTAAGCAAATCTGTCACTCACGGGGTCATCTCTGTAGATTATGTAAATTCTCTATGCCTCAGTTTCCTCACTTCTAAAATAGGAAGAAACAGCCAAGTTAGCGTGGCTCAGCAGTTAAGCATCCGACCTATGATCCAGGAGATTGTGGTTCGATTCCTGGTCAGGACACATGCCTGGTTGTGGGTTCGATCCCCAGTGGGGGGCATGCAGGAGGCAGCCAGTCAATAACCCTCTCATCATTGATGTTTCTATCTCTCTCTCCCTCTCCCTTCTTCTCTCTGAAATCAATAAAGATATATTTAAAATAAATAAATAAATAAATGAATAAATAAAATAAAATAGGGAGAAACATAACCTACCTTATGGATTGTTGTGGGGATTGAATGAGTTAATATATATAAAGTGCTTAGAAGCTTACCTGGCACAAAATACTGTATGAGTTATTATGTGGGGTAGGCAAAAGGGCACTGTAGTAAGGGTCTGTTTTAATCTCTGCTCAAAGAGCTGTGTAACTTCGAGCAATTTACCTCTCTGGATAACAGTTTCCTCATTTCTGAAATCAATGGGTTGCACTGTCTGAGGCCCCTTTTCCCACTCTATTATGGTAAAATATACATACCACGAAATTTACTATTTTAACCATTAAAAAATATATATTTTAAATTATTTTAGTGAAGAGGAAGGAGAGAGAGAGAAAAAGAAAGAGAGAAACATTGATTGGTTGCCTCCTGCATGTGTCCCCACCAGGGATCTAACCCAAAACCTGGGTATGTGCCCTGACCAGGAACCAAACCCACAACCTTCTGGTGCACAGGACGGTGCTCTAACCAAGTAAGCCACACCGGCCAGGGCTATTTTAATCATTTAAAAAAATATGTATATATCTTTATTGATTTCAGAGAGAGGAAGAGAGAGGGAGAGAGAGAAACATCAATGATGAGAGAGTCATTGATCGGCTGCCTCCTGCGCGCCCCCGACTGGGGATCGAGCCCGCAACCCGGGCATGTGCCCTGACCGGGAATTGAATCTCATTCTCCTGGATCCTAGGTCAGTGCTCAACTGCTGAGCCACGCCCGGCCGGATTATTTTAGTCAGTTTAAGTGTACAGCTCAGTGGCATTAAGTACACAGTTCAGTGGCATTAAGTACATTCACATTGCTGTACAATCATCACCACCATCCATTTCTAGAACTTTTTCATCTTCCCAAACTGAAACTCTATCCATTGAACAATAGCCCCCCCTTCCCTTCAGCCCCTGGCAACCACCATTCTACTTTCTGTCTCTGTGAACTTGACTACTGTAGGTATCTCATATAAATGAAGTCATAAAATATTTGTCTTTTGTGTCTGGCTTATTTCACTTAGCATAACGTCTTCATCAATGTTGTAGCATGTCACAACTTCCTTTGTTTAAAAAAGGCTGAATAATCCATTGCATGTACGTATCACATTTTGTTTA